ATATATATGTGTGTGTGTGTATAAATGCCTCTCGAGAGAGTGACACAGTGGAGAGTGGAGTGACAGAGAGAAGCAGAGGCACAGAGGCAGGGCAGGTTGTTCTGTGTTTCTGTTGTTGCAATAAATCTCAGCTGATCATCTCATGGAGTACCTTCATTTTTGGACCACGTATTTCTGTCTTTGTTAAATAAATATTGCCATAACATAAGTATTTACAGAAAATAAAAATATCCTTGCTAATAAAATTTCCTTATAACCTTGTTATAAGAAGAGTAGGACGTAAATCCTACAATACGATATCTCCCAGTCACTGTCTCATGGCAGAGTGGTTAGGGGAGTCATCCTGGAACCAGTAGGTTGCCAGTTTGATTCCCGTTCCAGCTGAATCTGTTGTTGTGTCCTTGGGCAAGACACTTCACCCCCAATGCTTCTAATGTGTCCCATCAGTGTACGAATGTGATTGGCACTGATTAGTCTCCATAGAAGATTGTACATGTTAGCTTTGTAGAGATCTAATAGAGTGTTGTGTGAATGGGTAAATGAGGACACAGATTGTAGTGTGAAGAGCTTTGACTGTCCTGGATGGATAGAAAGGTGCTATACAAGTACAGTCCATTTAACATTTACCCTACACACAAGTCAATTTTAAATACATTTTTTTATTACTAAAATGTGGTGAAAGTCAACTAAAGAACACAGATCGTTGAATAAGTTATGAATGATAATCGTAGATGACAGATAGACCAAACAACCTGTGAGATTTCAGCAGGCAAATGACCCAGGGCGCAGGAGAGGTTCAAAAAGTAACAAAAAGCTTTGATGAAAACAAAAGGCTGTTGGTGCAGCTCAAATACTCACAGAATTCACAGGGACTTGGAGGACTGAACACAGGATGAAACAAAGCACAGGTACAGAGCACAATGATCCGAAACACAAATGACAAGACCCAGAATATAAAGCAAACAAATTAGTAATATAAATAATAATGAACTTTATTTATATAGCACCTTCCAACAATGCCTTGCATCGACCAAAGTGCTTCACAAGTTAAAACAAATACAATCAAGCCATAAAAATCAGTACAAGTTAAAAACACAAATTACAATAAAATAAAGTAAAAATGATATATAAAATGCTAAAAATTAAACAAATTAAGAGAAAAAAAGAGAAACACCTGGGGAGACACGAGAGGAATCAGGTGCGCGTGGGCGGGGCTGGAAATAAAACAGCAGGGAGAGGAAAACAGCGGAACAGAAAAAACACTAAGAAAAAAAAGACAAAAATGCAGATCATGACAGTACCCCCTCTTAACGACTGCTCCTGACATCAAAAAAGGGACAGGTAACGGACTCAGGGAATCACAAACACAAGACAGGCTAACTCAAAACAAATATACACAAAGTTCAGGAGGACATCCAGGAGACTGCCCCGCATGAAGCAAAAGTTCAGGGGGACGGCCAGGAGACTGCCCCACACGAAGTAGACAGTTTGGAGGATGGCCAGGAGACTATCCAAAGCGAGGCCCCGCAAGAACAGCAGCAAAACTTGAGGCACAGGAGGGGGCGGGAGCAGACGTTGAGCCACGGTAGGGGGCAGGAGCAGACGAGGAGCCAAGGGAGGAGACGGGAATAGACCAAGAGCCAAGGGAGGAGAAGGGAGCAGATGAAGAGCCAAGGGAGGAGACAGGAGCAGACAAAGAGCCAGCGGAGGTTGCCAGAGCCAGATCGTCAGCAATGGAGAATGCTGGTGACAGAGGCGATGAAGAGGCGATGGGCGATGACCCAGGTGATGAGGCGGCAACGGCAACTGACCCAGATGACTTGGAGGGGCCGGAAGCCACCGGGACCACTGACTCTGGAACCACAGACTGTGGAACCACCGACTCAGGGACCATCAACTCCAGGACCACTGGAACCACTGACTCAGGGACCACCAGCACCACCAACTCTGGGACCACTGACTGTGGAACTGGGATCACCAACTCAGGAACTGGGACCATCAACTCAGGAACTGGGACCATCGATTGTAGAACTGGGACCACCAACTCAGGAACTGGGACTACCACTTGTGGAACTGGGACCACCAACTCAAGAACTGGGACCATCAACTCAGGAACTGGGACCACTGATTGTGGAACTGGGACCACCAACTCAGAAACTGGGACCACCAATTGTGGAACTGGGACCACCAACTCAGGAACTGGTACCACGATTGTGGAACTGGAACCATCAACTCAGGAACTGTGACCATCAACTCTGGAAACTCAGGAACAGATTCAGAAGACCCAGCAGACTCGGATGACCCAGCAGACCCAGCAGCAGACTTAGCAGCAGGCTCAGCAGCAGACTTAGCAGCAGACACCACAGGAGGGGAGGGAGGGTGGGTGACAAGTTGCTCAGCCAGAACCCTCCGAGCGAAGCAGAGGAGCTGCTGATGGCCAGGCAAGAACAGCAGATCTGGGCGAGCCACCAGAACACTCAATTTGCCGGCAGAGCAGGAATCTGGAAGGGAGATTGGGGGACCACCGGAGGATGGTCAGCGAGCCACTGATCAGGGGGTGCATCCTCTCTTCCTCCCACGAAGGCAGGGTCAGGACCTGCTCCTCAAAAGCAGAGAAGGACATGTGGGGTCCGGGTAGAGAAACAGAAATATCTGTTTCATAGAGAGGCAGACCAGGAAAACCTCTCCTTACAGGCTGGGGGCTTGGTTGGATCATTATGTGAGATTTCAGCAGGCAAATGACCCAGGGCGCAGGAGAGGTTCAAATTGTAACAAAAGCTTTAATGAAAACAAAAGGCTATTAGTGCAGCTCAAATACTCACAGAATTCACAGGGACTTGGAGGACTGAACACAGGATGAAACAAAGCACAGGTACAGAGCACAATGATCTGACAAACGCAAATGACAAGACCCAGAATATAAAGCAAACAAATTAAGAGTAAAAAAGAAACACCTGGGGAGACACGAGAGGTATCAAGTGTGCATGGGTGGGGCTGGAAGTAAAACAGCAGGGAGAGGAAAACAGGGGAACAGGAAAAACACCAAAAAAATAAAGACAAAAATGCAGATCATGACAAAACCAAACAAAACATGAGTTGTTTTTCAGCCTACTTGGGCAGTGTTTGTGTACTTCTGAGTACACAAACTTGACTTGCATTGTTTTTTAGTGACAATCTTGTTATTAGTCCACTGTTAAATTCCCCTTTGTTCAGAAAGCCATCATCCGTAAAGTGGCTCACACAAATAAAGCTTTTTTTTTTGTCGGAGGGTTACTTCCAAAATTGAAGTCCAAACATTTTTTAAGAACTGTCTCATCCATGGGAAGCTTAAAACGTGCAGGAGTGTCTCCTTGGCAATCAGTTTCATTAGGTGTTTGCTAGTTGTTGCAGCCGCTAGCCTGCAGGAGTCTCGCGGGGAGGCGTGCTCTGTGATGCAGCAGATCAGCTTGGAGACACAGAGGAGGAGCTGCTCCTAAAAGGCGGTTCAAGGGCCAACCAGTCGTTATTGTTCTGTTGAATGACTGCCTCGGGACTTTACAGAATTTCTCAAACATGCATGAATGAGTTCAAAGCAATACTCTGTATGTTTCTGATGAGGGAATGACATAACAAAATTAAGCTCAAAAAAGTTGATATTACATGATATTACCTCTTTAACAATGTGATTAAATTTCCCTAAACATCCTTTTCTTTCCCAATAGATCTGGTTGACTTTTCTGAGATGTTTTAACTATCCGGTGAAAAACAACACTGTGAAACTGGCTGCAGTCTGGTTCACTTTGTCATTTGGGTAAGAAATTATCTGTGTGTGACCTCAGGCTCTTCCTGCATGTCTCTCTGTTCTTATTTTATGCTTCAATCATATTTAATGTTTCTGTCCATTGCTCTGGGTGGTACTTAAAAAAGTCATTACTACATCCCAGCATAATAATAATTTCTACAAAGAACTTAGGTAGAGAATGTCTCACTTATAATATATGACATACAGCAGGTAAAATAAGTATTGAACACGTCACCATTTTTCTCAGTAAATATATTACTAGAGGTGCTAAT